ACCAGCTGCCTCCCGCACACTCCCTACTGGGGATGTGCCTGCAACCAAGGTACATGCCCTTGACCGGAATCGAACCTGGGACCCTTGAGTCCGCAGGCTGACGCTCTATCCACTGAGCCAAACCGGTTAAGGCTCTACTAATTTATTGTAATGATTACTCATTTATTTTAGCCCTTTGTATTCAGCATGTCTCTATCGAAATAAACTGACGTTTCTATGAAATTTGAAGCTTTTGTTTTTTTGCAGCCCACAGAAACTTAAACCTTGTTTATTTGGCCCGTGTTAGCCTTTGAGTCTGACATGCTTGGTCTAGACCAGGGGTGGGCAAACTTTTTGACTCGAGGGCCACAATGGGTTCTTAAACTGGACCGGAGGGCCGGAACAAAAGCATGGATGGAGTGTTTGTGTGAACTAATATAAATTCAAAGTAAACATCATTACATAAAAGGGTACGGTCTTTTTTTTTTTTAGTTTTATTCATTTCAAACGGGCCGGATCCGGCCTGCGGGCCGTAGTTTGCCCACGGCTGGTCTAGACTCTAGAAGAAAGAGCTCTGAACTGCAAGAACAGGCCCAGTTTGCCCAGGAAGGGCAGGTGCCTGCTCTCCTGCCATCCCCTCCCTAGAGACCTTGCTCCTCTCATGGGCCCTGCTGAGGGAGAGGGTCAAGGGTGCCCCCTCTCTGTCAGGACACACGCCACCTTGACAGACCAGGCCTCTGATGCCTTTAAATAGGCAAGTAGCGCCTGGCCGGTGTGGCTCAGTGGTTGAGCGTCAACCATGCACCAAGAGGTCGCTGGTTCAATTCCTGGTTAGGGCACATGCCTGGGCTGCAGGCTCGATTCCCAATAGGAGGCGTGCAGGAGGCAGCTGATTGATGTTTCTCTCATCATCGATGTTTTTCTCTCTCTCTTCCTTCTTCCTCTCCCTTCCTCTCTCTCTGAAAATCAATAAAGCATATATATATTTTTTAAAAAAATAGGTAAGTAGCTCCAATTAGGAGATAAATGGTCAACTAGGTGACAGGCAAGGGACTCAGGCAGCAAATCCCTGGGGCTTCCCGAGTGTTTGACAGAGTGGAGGCAGCTTATGCTGCCAGAAGAGCAGACCTGACCCACGTTCAGCAGTGAGGGGAGTCCCAGGGCTCAGCGTGGCAAGGGCCTGGGTCACAGAATGACACTGTGTGGGCCCGTGGCCCTCAGGCAGCAACTCCAGCAGGTGGGCCTCTGGGGGTGCAGGAGAAAAGGACCCTGAGATCAAGCAAGTCTGGGGGATTCTGGGTTAAAGCAAGGGAAACCGGTCTCTGTCCTGCCAAATCTGAGCCTGTGACATGCTAATAGTAACATACACAATTAACCTAAGGGGAAAACGCAGCATGCAAGGGGTCCCAAGCCATGTAATCACAGCCCCCATCTGTGGGGACATTGGTAGTTGGCATTTTATGCTAAGGGGAAAACGCAGCATGCAAGGGGTCCCAAGCCAATGTAATCACAGCCCCCATCTGTGGGGACATTTGTAGTTGGCATTTTATGGCTTCTGTTTAGAAAAATGCTACAGCAGAAAGAGGGACCACTGCAGAGTCAGGCACACTATGAACAAAACAACCGAAGTGCAAGCAGGTAAACCCAGTTCAGCAAGACCACACTCTACACAACGGCAGAAACCAAGGGAGGTAAGAGTGGGCCCTGCACCACCCCGTCATTTTCCACGGCCCTCCCGTGGGTGTGCTTGGACCGCTGACGACAAGCCATACCTGCAAAGTCAGAGACAGAAGCTCCTTCCTCTCCTTGCCGTGGTCCTGCAGGCGCCGCTGCCGGTGCTGTGACCAGCTGGACTCCCCCGGGGCCAGCCCGCTGAAGAGGCTCTTCCCATCCCTGGGTCCGCATGTGGGGTCCTTTGCTTTAGTGGTCTGGAGGGCAAGACACCAGGTTGTGAAAGTCTCTTCCTGTCTGTGCCCACGCCAAGAGCCCTGGGCCAGGAGCAGGGCAGAGGCCAGGGAGTGGCTTCTCTACCCAACAGGTCCTGGGTAAGGCTCCTCCCTGGCCATGCTAAGCAGGTAGGTAAAATGTTACCATCTCATTGGTGGGAAAAGTCAAGAGTGAAACATAGGCTGTCTGGACCGCCTCCTTTCTGTTCTCACTCCCGTCATGAGAGGACAGGTGGCCAGCACGCCTCAGCCTGCCTATCTCTATCACCTGGAGGGAGGTATCCATATGTCTCCTTGATCTGATCAGAACAATTACTTTTAGTCAAGGGGGACGAGATTATGTCAGGCCCCACGCTAGGTGTTCTAAACATTTATAAGCAACAATATGTTTGGGCAACATAAAAAAATTATGCAATATACAATCACTTCGCTGGAGGGGGAAAAAGGAACACAAAACCTTTGGGTCAAGTGTATGACTAAGCCAGCTAATGTTAACAAATACTCAGGTATTTGGAAATGACTCAGGTAACCAGAAATTCTTAATAGAAACTATTGGAAACTCAAGGACCTTTGAACAAGAGGAATTGCACAGAAAAGAAGCTGGCATCGTCGGGCTCCTTTAACGTGAGTGATAAAGTCAATCAAGGTTAGAGCAGATAAATTCAATAATCCCCATCCCACTCCCATGGAGAGAAGTTTCTTAATCAAGAGTCTTTTTAAAAAGAGCTGACACCTCATTCTCTTTCCAGATTACCTGGCCGGGGTCTCTTTTTCCAACCTTATTCCCACAATTTGTGATGGTCAAAATAGCCCCCTTGCCTTTTTACACAGATATGGTTACAAACCAACCTCCTTGCAAGCCACCTATACACAAGGCCTAAGTCAAGAGAAGAGACTCCCTGCCCAGCCATGTGGCTCAGTAGTTAGTGACGACCTATGAACCAGGAGGTCATGATTCGATTCCCAGTCAGGGCACATGCCTGGGTTGCGGGCTCGATACCCAGTAGGGGAAGTGCAGGAGGCAGCAGATCGATGATTCTCTCTCATCATTGATGTTTCTATCTGTCTCTCCCTCTCCCTTCCTCTCTGAAATCAATAAAAATATATTTTTAAAAAAAGAGAGAGATTCCCCCAAAGTCTACTGTCCTCTCTAGTTCTGCTACTTGCTATTTCTTATGTTAAGTCTGTCTTATGTTAAAACAACTTAAGATGATTAGCATAGATCCCTTGGGACCCTGGAGCCACGTGAACAGGTAAGAAAGAAAATTTTAAAGGACTAAGCCTAACTGCGTCTGGCCTGCAGGGTGTTTGTTAGTTTTGTTTTTATGACTGAAGCGACCTCCAGTGTTATCTACTGATGCTTGTAACAGATGTTTCTTCTAGAAGAAGTACTTGATTCCCCAAATTCTGGCTTGTTTTGGGAGAAGTAGCGTTCTTAGACAAGATACAAGAAGTGATCTAAGAAGGAAACCAATAACAATAACAGCCCCAGTGTATATTGTTCACTGAATGTTTACCAAATGCAAGGCCCCATGCTAAGAACTTTACAAACATTCCCTTAAAGGTGAGGACATTCCTTATGAGGAGCTGAGGCTTGGAGAGGGTAAGGTAACTTGCTCTACACAGGCACAACTTGAAAGAGCTGAACTTCATACCCAGATATGACAGCAACTCCATGCTCTGAGAAACCTGAAGGAAGCAATACCATGAAGGGAACATGTGGAAGAAGGTGACACTGAATAGAAAAGAAATGTCATAATCCTGAAGCTAAATAACATACCCAAGACAAGGCCCTTCTCTCGGCACTCTGGCCATTGCTGAGAAGTACCCCGTGGTCCACGGAACCATGGGCAGGACCCACAGCTTTAGAAGGTGGGAGGCTTCTCTTACCTTTCTAGAAGCAAAGGGTGTCAAGATAATTGATAACAGAGAGGTCCTGAGATAACATGGTGTCCCTCAAATGGTCCCCAGGTGTGTGTGCCCACTCCCTGGAATGTGATCCAAGGGTGCCAACCCTCCATTGGTTTCTTCCCATACCTACTGATCCACAGGGCCAATTTCCCAGACTGAAGAACACATGGGAAGCTACACCTACATCAGGCAAAATAGACTTTAAGCCAATGAGTATAGTAAGAGACAAAGAAAGTGATTACATAATGATAAAGGGGTGAATTCATCAAGAAGATATAATAACCATAAATATAAACACACCCAACATCAGAGTACCTATTTACAGGGTGTCCCCCCAAAAAATGTATACACACTTTGAATGATTATAAAGTCAGTGTTTATTAACATACAGTTCATTAAAAAAAATTAAAAGCATCTACAGAAATGAATAATTTTTTTGTCAGTGCCTGTTTTCAAACTGATGACTGTTCTGGTCCAGGCACTGCTGATAACGCGAAGCAATGGAATCACAAACATCAAGAATCATTTCGTTCGGTATTTGTTCACCCTCAATTCATCAACTGTGGCCCGTTTTGTACCATAAACTTTATCTTTTATGTATCCCCATAAAAAAAGTCTAGTGGCACTTTAGGGTAAATTTTCTTTGTTCAAAGCTTAGTCTGGTTTCACCCATTATTTCAAATCAGTTAAACCTGAAAAGGAGTGAAAATTAAGTGAGTTATCAGCTGTTAAAGTGTGTATACATTTTTGGGGACACCCTATATAAAGCAAATAACAGACGTAACAGGAGAAACAGGCAGCAATACAAAAAGAGTAGGAAACTTTAATACCCTACTTTCAACAATGGATAGATCATCCAAACAGAAAAGCAATAAGAAAACATTGTACTTAAACTACACATTAGATCAGAAGGACTTAATGGACATTTACAGAACATTCCATCCAAAAGCAGCAAAATGCACATTCTTCTCACGTGTACATGGAACATTCTCCAGGAGAGGTCATATATTAGCCCACAAAATAAGTCTTAATAAACTTAAGAAGACTGAAATCATATCAAGGATCACAATGATATGAAACTAGAAATCAATTTACAGGATACCTAAAACATTCACAAACATGTGGAGACTAAGCAACATCAATGGGTCACTCACATCAATGGGAGACTGAACCACCAATGGGTCAAAGAAGAAACCAGAAAAGAAATAAAAAAATATCTTGAGACAAATGAAAATGGAAATACGACACACTGAAACTAACAGAATGAACACTTACATTAACAATAAACATTTATATTAAAAAAAAGAAAGATCTCAAATAAACAACTTAACTTTACACCTCAAGGAACTAGAAAAAGGACGAACAAATCTCAAAGTTAGTCAAAGGAAGGAAATGATGAAGACAAGAAAGAAAATAAATAAAATAGACATTAAAAAGGCAATAGAAAGGATCAATGAAACTAAGAGCTATTGTTTGTTTTTTTAAGATGAACAAGATAGACAAACCTTTAACTAGATTTACCAAGAAAAAAGAGGTCTCAAATAAATAAAATTAGAAATGAATTTCAAAACATGTCTCTAAAAGCCGAACATTTTAATGGAAGAACTGGCAGCAGAGGCCACGTTTTCTGAATCCAAAGGTGGCCACGAGAATCCAGCTGCATAAACAGTGCTGAGTGACAGGAAGATCAGTGTCCGGGGCTGGCAGTTGTTTTCTACAATAGTGCGATCCTGGAAAGTGAGGAAGTCTCAAAAAGCCTGGGACCTGCAGGTTTGACAGGTTGATCAGCCCGACCGAGAGATCTTTAAACTGGACATTTAAGAAGAAAAGGGAAAGAACCCATGTAAAACTGCATCCAGACCACAGGGGGATCCTCCCTTGGAACCAGAGGTGGGAAAGGCTACAGAGGGAAGACCAGATGCTATTTTCTCTCCTTAATTTTCTCTCCTTAATTGCCCACCGCACCTGATAAATGGTGTCTTTTCCTTTTTCAATGCTTGGTGTTAAGAGTGCTCAGCCCTAGACGGTTTGGCTCAGGGGATAGAGCATCGGCCTGTGAACTGAAAGGTCCCAAGGTTCGATTCCGGTCAAGGGCACATGCCCGGGTTGTGGGCTTGATCCCCAGTGGGGGGCTTGCAGGAGGCAGCCGATCAATGATTCTCTCTCATCATTGATGTTTCTATCTCCTTCTCCCTCTTCCTTCCTCTCTGAAATCAATAAAATATCTATACTGATGGGATAGGGAGGTTTAGGATGGACGTCAAATTCCCCTAGCTGACACAGCTTCCCCAGCATGGACAGAAAATACAATGTTAAGAAGTGCAAGGCAGAGCTTTCCTTACAAGTGAAGATGGAATGGAAGCTGTCCAGCATACCATCAGGCTGGACAGTACTCCAAAATGAAAATTCAAACAGGCATTAACAAAAGGCACTACAACAAATTAAGAACTGCCTTTATAATGACAGGGCAGTATATACAAAGAGAACCGTGAACCTAAGTGTGAGCTATCACGTCCTGCTTAAAAGAGACCTTTTCCTTAAACTGTATCTACTAAAGTTATTTATTAAACAAGCACAAACAACAACAAAAAATGTGCTAAAAGCTGATGAATGCAGTTGTCCACAAAACACTCAAATAAGTAGGCTAAGGTAAACCCGTGTCTAGCTACAGATATACTTAACTTAAAAGTTCACTGTGACATAAGCAGCAATTCAAAATTTTAAGAACAAACTTCATAAAAATCTCAACTACTGGATTAATAGAACATTGCAGTGGCCCAAATTATATCCAGTCATATTCTATCATAATCTATCTGTCTCTGGCCCTGGCCAGGTAGCTCAGTTGGGTAGAGCACTGTCCCAATACACCAGGGGTGGGGAACCTCCTTTCGGCCAAGAGGCTTTGGATATTTGTAACATTATTCTTGGGCCAAACAAAATTATCACCTTAAAAATTAGCCTGCTATGTTTGGTTAAACATTTAATTAACTGACCCCTAATGCTTTGGCAGGGCCAGACCAAATGATTTCACGGGCTGTGGGCTGGACGTTCCCCACCCGGATTATGCCACGCTTTCAGATTCGATCCCCGGTCAGGGCACATACAAGAATCAACCCATGAATGCATAGATGGGTGGAACAATAAATCAATGTTCTCCCTTTCTCGCTCTCTAAAATTAATAAACCAATAAATATCTAAAATTAAGAAAAGTAATAATCTACCTGTCTCCTACAGTTCAGGAGAGAGATTTTTAACTGTTTATCACTTGGCCTCCTCGCTCCTCACTCTGAAGAAGGCTATAAACTAATTTTCGGTGGCCCGAATACAGCTTACCAGGCAGTTATCCCAATGGGGCAGGAAAGGAGTTCCAGTAATTTGATCTCCCCTAAAGCAAAATAAAGCCACCCAGAGGACAGGCCCTTGGAACACAGGAATTACAGAATGAAAGATGGCAAGAAGGCTCCCTTTTCCCCATCCAGCTTAGAGCCATGGAAACAGCCCCCACAGTACTTGTACTTACCACTGATTTCTCAGTAGCTATGAGGTAATTTGAGAATACCGAAGTCTGTGCCCGCTTTGTTTTCTTTACATGATGGCAATTAGAGGTTATCTCTATAATAACCTCTTGCAGTCCCACAGCTTACTGAGTGGGTGTGGAAGGAGTGGAATTAGGGCTGAGGTGCCCTCAGGGGCTGCTGCTGTCCCAGAGATGCCGCGGGAGCCTGGAAACCAGGGTTTTATAGCTACTGCCATTTGTTGTTTTAAATTTTGCCTCCAGATTCAGGCTGAAAGCACTGAGAGTATATCACCATCTACTTTGCCATCTACAATGCTATGAACATTTCAGTAATAATGACAACAGTTAGAGCAACCAACGAATTACAAGTGGGCAAAATGCTGATGTAATGGAAATGTATACTGGTATATACAAATACTATTTAAAATAGGAAAGCCTAATCATTTTATGTGTTGTTAATTTAATAACACAGCACATGGTTTTTTATTTGCTTATTTGTTACTAGTTAAAAAAAAAAAGAGGCAGTTCTGGTGTGGTAATAGTGATAAAGGCTATACACTTAACATGTGCTAACAAAGCAATATGGCTTTAAAAAAAAACAATGTCACTTACTATTGAGTTAAAAGCAATATATCATTAAAATCATAGGAATTGATTATACAACTCTACTTAGTATTGGTAAGAGAGCACTTCAAATTATACACTCAAATTTGGCCATTAACTGTAATAAAGGAATTAAAAAAATTAGAATGCCCTTCCCTAAGAGGAGGGGGACCAGCATGGTGAGGGGTCTAGAAATCAAGCCATAGGTACAAACAGTTACGGAGAGAGGGAGGCATGAACAGAGTGCTTAGCGTAGGAAAGATAGGAAGGGTTGTCCTAAGAGAAGCCTTAGTTTACTCAGCATCAGAAAGCAGAGCTAAGATCAGTGAGTTTAATTATAGGGAGGTTTCTACTAACAGCTCTGCAACGGACAACTTTCCCATGTTGACAAGCAGTGAGCTCCTCATCACAGGAGGCAATGTATAGGAGAACACGCCCCTCTACTCAGTAGGAGGGTGGGCCAGATGACCTTCAAACTTCCTTTGACTTTAAAATTACTTCATTATCTTTAATCTCAAATCTACTCGTTATTGTTAGAATTGAAACAGCAATGCTGAGTCTAATTAATAAATCAATAAAAAAATAAGTCACCTGCCGGCCTGTGTGGCTCAGTGGTTGAGCATCACCCTATGAACCAAGAGGTCTCGGTTTGATTCCCAGTCAGGGCACATGCCCAGATTTCGGGCTCCATCCCCAGTTGGGACATGCAGGAGGCAGCTGATCAATGATTCTTTCTCATCATTGATGTTTCTGTCTCTCCTTCTCCCTTCCTCTCTGAAATCAATAAAAATATTTTTTTAAAAAGTGACCCAACCACTGAGTGTTTCAGAGTGTAGACATCTGTGGCTTCCATTCAGGAAATGGAAAGAGGGCTACCTTTGCTTTGACATACCATGTGGTGAACCAAGCTTTGTTGGAATATATATTAGAGGTAAGGTAAGGAATGTTTGCTACAAACTACACAGTCTTACCCTTATCTCTTGAGTGTATCCCATTTCCATTTCAATCTCACCATCTGACACTTAGTCCTAAAGACATAAAGAGCAAGGCCACCGGCTTCACCCAAAGAACCTATCTCTGTGTTCTCTTTCATTTTTAAAAATACAATTGAATCGTGTAATTTCATGCACATTCCAAGGGACCTTACACTCCCTATGTCATTTATTACACTTATAAAATATTGCACAGTGAAGAGCTCTGCAAAGCAAACAGTAAAACTTACTCGAACACACTCCACAGAACTGGAATTCTAATTAAGTTTGAACTTTAGAAAAATAGTCATAGTAGGAACTGTGACTGATGTTTGACTCCTGGGTACTAAGTTTATAGTCATTATGCATTGCTGGCACTTTAGGTCTCAGAGCTGACTTGGGAACCCATGTAGGGCAGTATCTTCACAGATACAACTACTAATAAGATATATTGAGTCCTTGTAATCTGCCCAGTACTGTATATTCCAAGGGCCCTTAGATCAGCTCAATAAACCGAGCCCCTGGCCCCGAGGGAGTAAATACTAATATTAACACCCTCCAGCAAACTGGGGTTTAAGCAGTCTGAGCAAGGGTAATAAACCAGGTGCTGAGCTGAAAGCGCAGCTGTCTGACTCCAAAGCCCCCTGCTCTTTCTTATCCAGTGTCCTGCTCAGCTGTGGCACTTCAACACTACTGAACCCCAGTGCTGTGCTAAGAGCCCCCACACCCTAGGAGCAGCCTGGGGCAGGCCCCTGACTCCCAGAGGCAGTCAGCAGCCCCAAACTGCTATGCCACTTGCAACTGTTATCAAGCCCAGGCTGGGAGGGCTATGACGGCTCACTTTACCTGTAGCTAATACACGTATAGTAAGAGAAAAAGGGTCCCTACCCAAGCGATATAGCGCAACGCTGGGTCTGTAAAACTTCCACTCTGGCAGGCATTTCTAAGAGCAATGAATTTTGACCATCTCTGCAAGGAGAACTACTCAATGGGGCCCTTTGCTGTTTGGAATATATGCTAGCATAAAAGACATTCTGCAAGCCTCTATATATGTGAAAAAAATAAGCAATGAATTTTGACCATCTCTGCAAGGAGAACTACTAAATTGTGAAAATCCATCACAGAATCAGTAAATCCTAACTGTACAAGAAATTCATTGATTCAGAAGTAACTCTAACTCTTTATCTACATACTACTTTATATCGCCCAAAATTCAAAATTCCAGAAGCTTGAGTCACCAAATCACAGTCACAAAGCCCTCCTAAGTGCAAAGGAAATCTCTCAGAAAAGGGGAGGGACCCTTCAAAGCATACTTCCTCTCGCTGCCATCCACCCTTCACCTGCTGAGTGCCCAGTGCTGGGGCCTTTTGAGAGCTGGCACAGAAGTTCAGGCAGTGGCCAGAATGGCAGCATGCTGGGGGAGGAGAGAAGTCCCTGTGGGTTAGACCTGGGCCTGAGATCTTGCACTACCTTTGGTCAGCTGCACACATCTGCCTCCTGTCACCTTCTGCCCACAACACGTGTATTTCCGGCCGGAGGTGGGGCTGGAGGGGAGGGGAGGGAGGGTTGGGGCAGGCGGAGAGTGCATTGAGTGGATTTCCCTGCACCATGCTCTTATCTCTATTCTCCTCCAGCAGAGCTGTCACTTGTCTAAGAGGGGAAAGGCAGGGGAGGAGGAAGAAAGGGAATGAGATGTGAATTTTTTATCTCACCAGCATATCCAAGAATTCAGTCCTAAGCGAAAGGCGAACACATCTCCACTTGACAAGTAGGTGCAGTCAGATGTCAGAGGCCTTTTGGCAAATTGGAAAAGATGAGACTTGTGCTTACCTGACTGCTGATGGACTCTTTCTTGGCCGAGCTCTGAGCCTGAGGCGGGCCCTGGGCAGGTGATAACCGTGAGGGGCTCTTCTTACTCTGAGGCAGCAGTGAGGACAGGAAACCCACACGAGGCGACTGGGAGAGGGATGTGTTCCTCTGGCTGCACACCATGGCTCTGGACAGGCACACACAACACAAGGTCACAGGGCTGGAGGGGGACCTGGGAGAAGCCGGAGCACAGGCCTGCTGGGCTGCGGACAGTGCCAGGGGCCAGGGCCTTAGCTGGGCTCACACGCCTGGGCTTTAAGGTGGCGTTATCCTCAGTTCTCTTGCTTAGACCAAAGAGAGCCGGCAGCCTGTCCAGCACAACGGGAAGTCTGAGGCTCTCTTCTGGGAAAGCTCAGATGCTCTGTTTATATTCATCACAGGTTTGAAATGATGATCTGGATATACTGGGCTGAATAAAATACATCATTAAAATGAACTTCACCTATTTCTTTTTACTTTTTTTTAACATAGCTAAACTTCTTTAAATTACATTTCTTGGTGTGCATTCTATTCCCATCAGATGGTGCTAGCTCAGAAACGAGAGCAGTTTCACTGGGTGCAGTGCTTGGCCACATGTAGGTGGGGAATCTGACTGTCTGGGTTTGTGTCCTGACTCACCACTCACTCAGTCACTGTGACCTCTCTGTGCCTACATCTCTTCAACTGCTACTGCTGTTATTATTATCAACTGGGTCTTCTGTTTAGCTGGCTGTTTTTTAATGTCACTCAAATACCTCTCCCTCAATCTGCCTACCTCTTTAAACCCTCACACAAGATGATGCTTCTACTGTGGAACGCATCCAACCTGTGGCTGCCAATCTTTTCAACCATGAGGTACTGCTTCCAATGCACAAAAACTTCACAAGGCTTTAGACCAGTGGTTCTCAACCTTCCTAATGCCTCGACCCTCTAATTCAGTTCCTCATGTTATGGTGACCCCCAATTTCATTGTTACAAATTGAACATAACTGATGAATCACAAAAACAATATGTAATTATATATGTGTTTTCCGATGGTCTTAGGTGACCCCTGTGAAAGGGTCGTTTGACCCCCAAAGGGGTCGCGACCCACAGGTTGAGAGCCGCTGCTTTAGACAGTGGCTGTATTTATTTATCCAGGTGGCACACACCCGGATGTGCAGGTCCCTGGAAGAGCTCGGCAGGCTGAGGACCTCAGAGGCCAGGGGAGCTTGCTCAGTTAGGAAGCATTAACCATGAGTGCAGGAGGCTCTTGGGAAATTCTGCATCTCCAGGAGCAGGGGGCCCAGGTAAGAGCACAGGGGAAAGAGGGAAGGAGGGGGCTAGGACCTCCAACCACGGGGCAGGGCACACACTCACAATTCTGAGTCCCCCAGGCGGTCCATGTTGGAGACGTAAGGAGGCAACTTGTGTTGGACCATGGCCTTTTCTTCTTCTGGCTGTTGCTCCTCTTTCTTTAGTCGGTGGATTTCGGCTTGCAATGCAAAAAGCTGCATAGAGATGGGACAGAGTTCATCAATGACATCACCCCGCTGGGAAGATTAGCCACATCATTCATATCCAACACCCAACCTCACTGGTTCAAAAGGCCACTGGCTCTCAGGATGCCAGTCCCGCTCTCTGCCCACTGTGGTTTGGGAAAAATGGGCGAGTGCAGCTGTTACCTGACTACAGTGAGGTGAGAAACTGAAAACCATTAGATATACAAAACCCTTTTTTTTTTCTTTTTATCATTTGACTCGCTTCCCTTTTATCATTTTACTTGCTTCCTCCTGAATTCACTGAGAAAAACAGCTCCACCCAATCCTGCTTTGCTCTTGGGAATCTACAAATTAGACTCTGGAACTCTCATGGAAAAGCTTAATTAAATAAGGTTCAGCATTTTTTACTGTTTGCCTGAAGAAAATTATACACACACCCCCAAAATCCAAGAATCTTTTTTTTTTTAATCTTCACCCAAGGATATTTTTCCATTAATTTTTAGAGAGAGTGGAAGAAAGAGGGAAAGACAGAGAGAAATATTGATGTGAGAGAAACACATCAATTGGTTGCCTCCTGCACACACCCTGACCAGGGCCCAGGCCAGGGAGGAGCCTGCAACCAAGGTACATGCCCTTGACTGGAATCGAAGCCGGGACCCTCTATCCATTGAGCCAAACCAGCTAGGGCAAAAAAAACAAGAATCTTAAACCCCCAAACCTAAACAGTTTATAATCTTCCTTGTTCTGAAAATCTTCCTGTTTCTAAAGAGATCTTAATTTCAAGGACAGATAAATGTTCAACAGGCAAAATATAAAGGCAAGTGTAGGTTCTAAGTCCTGTCACTTTACCAAACTAGAGAAATGGAGAGCTGAGCAGACAATTAAATATCTGGGTTATAAACAGTACAGATATAAATATATGTGGAAAAGGACTGGGATCACAAAATAGACATACGAAAACAGGTCAGTTGCCAGGTGGCATGAGTGCACAGATAGTCTTTTCCCTCTCAAAAGTACATTACTGTTACTATGTTGTTCATTCTTAAATGACTTAAAATATGAACCTTGTCTCTGGTTTTCAGAGACTATTACCGCCCCCGAGTCTCCAACTGATTTTCTGGCGACTCACTTTCCTCTGAGATCTGTGCTCTCCTCTACATGACCAGCCCTCCACCGCCTCTACCTGATTTCAAACACGAAAGGTATTTTCCAAGAAGCAAGTGTGCTCAGAACCAACCTTCTGACGTAGAACTTCATTTTCTTCTTGAACCTGGTTGGTCCTCTGGCACTCAGCATCAAAGTTCAGGATCACAGGCACTGGTGCACACAGTTAAAGAATAAGCCTGCCTGGGAAAGGACTGAGAGACCTTCCCAAACTCTTTTTTTTTTTTCTTCCCAAACTCTTGACACAGCAGCATCACCCCTGAACACAAGATGGGGGAATGGAGTACAGACTCAGTGCTATGGGGTCTTCTCAGCTTTATGAAGTAGTCTCTCCCCCCGAGGCCAGGCCTGGCCTGACTTCGTTCAGACAGACGTACAGACACGTGACAATCTGCTGGCTAGCCCACAGAGAGTTCTCTCCCAATGCCAGCAATAAAGAGCCATATCCAGTGGTTTTCAGAGCCAGTCTAAGCATCGGCAACAGGCAGCTAAGAGCGAGCCGAGGCCAGGCTCTGCGGGCACGCTGCTGGCCGCTCCACCAGCTGGGCAGAAGGGTCCGCCACTCGGCTTTCCCCTGCCAACTCAACCTCTCCCTGGCAAAGGTTTAGACTGAGGAGAAAGCTTTCTGCAGTTTGTGCGGCCACATGCCACCATGTGAGCATCCACGGTGTAGGTCAGCGTGTCAGTCTTCCCCAACCACCTCAAACGGGGCGGCAGTCAGGAGGAGCGCAAAGCAGGCAGGGCCTCAGCACTGAGGAAGTGAACGGAGGCTCGAATGGGCACTGTCTTGCACTGAAAAGACCTAGTGACATTTCCCATTTCCGTAGAGGGCCCACGTGGCTGTGCCATAACCACCTCTGGCCTGAGCCACTGCTGGTTTCATTTGAAAGCCCTCGGGATGCAGAGCAGCAGCAGGGCCAGAAGAAAGGCAAAGCTGGCAAGAGCAGAATTCCCAGCAGCCACAACGCAAAAGGAAAGGGCACCCTTCCTACCTCCACCAGCAGATGTTCCTCCCGAACGGCTGCTGGGTGGGCCTCCACAATGCCCCGTTTATCAGTGACTCACCAGGCAGCCCCATTCAACCCAGACTCTTCTCCGCCCCCAGAGTCCCAGCCTAGAGAGCACAAGCAATGGATAATGGTCCCAGGCCTGGGATCAAAGCATTTCCTGACAAAATGGGAAATATGGTAGCCATAAATCATTTACATTCCCTCTCAAATAACCACACATATATTCTTAGAGCTGCTGTTTTCTGGCAACTTGAGGAACACTGAAGTCACTGTCAGAGAAAGCGACCCAAACACTAATCTAGGGAGGAAGTTCCAGCCCAAGAAGTGTTCTCATCTGCTACCTAATCCCAACAAAGGCAAGTGATAGATATCCTGGGGGGAGGGGAGGCACAGAGATGGTGCTCTGAGGATGGCTGGTGTCACTGAGCAGCAGCTGCATACCAACCCCTGTATCTGCGAAGAGAGGCCCTCAGACCTGCTTGAGGGCTCCTCTCAGAGCCCCGCACTGGCACCCCACCGCTGCTACAGTCCCCCATGGCAACTATTACTTCAGCAGCAGAACTAAGACTTATGATTCCCTGGCCTCCTGACAAAAATAACCACAATCTGTCCAGCCGCCTCACATAACACGTGACAATGATCCTTGGGCATTTGGTGGAAGAACTGATTGCATCAGGAGCAGCAGCCACTGATCACATTGTCTGGATGCATCAGGGTAGGTCCACAGCCCCAGGCAGCTGAAAGGATATGCATGCACTGAAACAGGACACTCAGGAAGTTGTGCAGGGACACAATGAAGGTGTCGGCCCACTGACGAGAAAAGTAGGTAGCAAAGGTGGGGTTGGTGTCTGGAGACGGCAGGAAGGGCAGGACAAACCAATCCTTCCACTCGGCCTGGTTCTGGAGCTCCGTGGCCTGCTTTGCAAAGAACTCCTGAGCCTTGTCATTTCTGTTTGTCTGCCAAGACACAGAGAAGACGGCAAGGAGGGGAAAGAGACAGAAGTCCAGAAGTAAGATTCTTCATCATTGCCTTTGAATATCAGCTTGCTAGGTAAGTGGCCAAACATAATCTACACACTCCATAAAATAAAGGAAATCATCACTCATTTCTCACGTTTCTTGTAATTTCAAAGAAGTTGGTTTAAACTGAAGTCTGATGATAACTGCCATCCTAAAAATTAATTCCTAGTTGATTTCCAAACAATCTAATTAACTATTCCCCCAGGTCAGCTATAATCTTTATGATGCAAATTTTAACCCAGCTACTTATAGTCTTTAAAACATCAGCCAGGCCCGGCCAGTGTGGCTCACTGGTTGAGTGTCAACCTATGAACCAGGAGGTCATGGTTCAATTCCCAGTCAGGGCACATGCCCGGGTTGCAGACTCTATCCCCAGTAAGGGGAGTGCAGGAGGCAGCCGATCAATGATTCTCTCTCATCACTGATGTTTCTATCTCTCCCTCTCCTTTCCTCTCTGAAATCAATAAAAGTATATTTTAAAAAACTACCAGCCAGACTTGCATGCTTAAAACAAGAGGAGAAATTGAAATGAGGAAGACAAGTCATGTGATCTGCAGATGAGAAAGGGGAGGGGGGGGATTAGGAAAACAGTCAAAAATAACTTGCACTGTGACTGTTTCACCCTTTCCCAGAGTAACACAAAGAGTCCTCTCTAGAAGTGAAAAGAAAATCTATTTCTGGATCAAATAACTCTTTCCACCAAGGAATCCCTGAATCAACAAGCACCTGAATTGTGTAGACAAGATAAAAGCGGAACAGGCTGGTTTTCAGTTTGTTGACGGTGGGTCGGTATATATCCTCCAAGCGGCTGAAGAGCCGCCGCTCCAGGTAGCTCCAATAATCCCGCAGGGCAGCCAAGTCATACACCTGCATCAGCTGCTGCAACTGGTCCACAATCTTGTCCACCTAGTGAGAGAAGGTGGTGAAGGACGGAAGGGAACCCTCCCCTCGTTCCACAGAGTTAATACAGCCTTTTCCTCTTGCTGTGGCTTCTGGGTGTTCAATAAAAATTCAAGTTAGCCATCTAGAGAACTTTAAAAACATATTCCTGTAATAGCGCTTAAGTTCTTGTCTGATATTAGGTATCTGGTTTGACCTTCCAGCAAGTGTGGAAATGTCGGGTGTTAAAAACGCTGACGCAGGAAGCAGCAGATACTGGGTCTGGGTCTTGGACAAGAGAGAGCAAGAGAACCTCCATGGTCCTCCTCCCGGCGCCACCATTCCAGGATTTCAGGGCTCAGGGTGCGGGGCACTGGCTGACTCCTTCACGTCATCCAGGCATCCCAGAGCCCTTGCAGCTGCTCAGAGTGTCAGCTAAAGAAGTCACCTCCTGGGGGGGAGCAATCACACTAGAGCAGCGGTTCTCAACCTGTGGGTCGCAACCCCTTTGGCGGTCGAACGACCCTTTCACGGGGGTCGCCTAAGACCATCCTGCATATCAGATATTTACATGACGATTCATAACAGTAGCAACATGACAGTTATGAAGTAGCAACGAAAATAATTTTATGGTTGGGGGTCACCACATGAGGAACTGTATTTAAAGGTTAAAGGGCCAGAAGGTTGAGAACCACTGCCCTAGAGCATACAATCTGGAAAGGTTTCTGGCGACCGGTACCAACCCAACACCCCCATTTTACAGATCAGGACACCGAGGCCTGGAGAACTGAGATGCTTTGCTTTGGCTACCAAGGAGCCGGTAATTCTGGCAAGACAAGAACCCCGGTCTCCCAGCTCCCCTCCGACTCCTGCTGCTCGCTCACTGCCTCTCTCAATTCACCTGTCAACATTCACTGAAGTCAGCCAACAGACACGTATAAATTCCGAGAGCTTCTCAACGGAAACTCATGCCTTAGCAGGGGACATTTCACGTATGAAACTGTGCAGTGAGGTCTTCCTCAACTGCTGAAGCAACACTGCCAAGGAGTCGCTGGCAAGGCCATCTTCCGCAAACACCGCACGTACTGGAACCAGCTGCAGACCCCGTGGCTCCCAGGGCCCTCGGGAGCCAACTACAGAGCCTCGTGTTGCCCAGATCCAAGCATCCACCCCGCCTTCGCTCCGAAAGCCTCGTGCACCCCCCCACTCCCCCGGCCAAGGTCTGCCAGCACCTGCTGCAAGGCTGGGGTGCAGCACGGAGCCCTGGCCCGGAGCGAGGGCACCTGGGCTCCAGCCTCCGCGAGGCTCCGGGCTCGCCCGGCAACTTCAGGCAAGTCACGTCCCCTCTCAGGGCCCAGTTCCTCATCTGTCAAGCGAGGGCCACACGCGCACCAGCGAGGG